TTCTTCTTCTTCTTCTTCTTCTTCTTCTTCTTCTTCTTCTTCTTCTTTTTCTTCTTCTTCTTCTTCTTCTCCTCCTCCTCCTCCTCCCCCTTCCCCTTCTCCTCTTCCTCCTCCTTCTCCTTTCTCCTTCCCCTTCTTATGAAGTCACTTTCCCACTGACCCAGACTCCCCCTATGGCTTCAGGTGTCTCTGCATAGAAGCCCTGGTGAAAATATCCAGTAAGAATCAAAGGTGCTGGCACTGCAGAGACCAAGAACCTCTGGGAGAAGCCGCTATCTGCATTACCTGCTTCAAACACTGCTGGGAGCACAGCGATTGAAGGGAAGAAGGGCTTGTCTTGGCTCGTGGTTGGAGGGTACTATCCTTTATGTCAAGGAGGTCATGGCAGCCAGAGCTTGAAGCAACTGTTCATATTACATGTGCAGCCTGGAGGCAGAGAGAAATGAGCGCTGGTGTTCACCCGACTTTCTCTTTTGTATTCATTTGGATATTCCCCAGCTCATGGAATCCTGTCACCCACATTTAAGGCGGGCCTTCCCACCTCAGCTCACCTAATCTAAAAACTACCTCACTGACCTGTGCAGAGATTTGTTTCTCAGGTGAGCTTAGGTCCTATCAATATTAACTATCACACCATTCAAAAAAATAAATACAGCACTCAGGAGGCAGAGGCAATTCTCTGGGAGTTCGAGGCCAACCTGGTCTACAGAGCAAGTTCCAGGACAGCCAGAAATGTTATACAGAGAAACACCTGTCTCAAAATAAAACCAAAAATAAATAAATAAATATTTAAAAGTAAATAAATAGCCTCACTGCAACTCCATGGCACCAAAGCAATGTGGAGAAAAATGCATGCTCTATGTTTATAGTTATAACCGCAGCATTATTGTGATATATGCTATTATTTAGTATGTTAGTGTGAATCAAGAAATGGAGATCCCTTAGTTCAGTTTACTATGAGAAAACAAAAATGCCTGAGTTCCTACTACAAATGTTTCTGCCTCCCTAACCTGGAGCCCCTACAGAGAACTCTTCTTGGTACACCCAGTTCCAGCTGGGGGCCTGAGACGTCACACTTCTAGCCTGTTGGAAGCTACTACAGGATCACCCTGCAGTTCCCAAACAACAGGAAATGAGGTGTGGTACTGACATGAAGGCTGCCATTGTCTCTGTTGATGATGGTGCCTTCAAACAGCGGCAGTTTGCCACCCTGCAGCACTGGAGTGACGCAGCCTGGTGCCAGCCAGGAGCGCCGTCCAGAGCTCCAGGGAGACTTTAGTCTTTGCCTCATCTGATTCCTGGGGGCTGATGGCATCCCATGCCCTCTGACCATCACCACAGTGGGTCTCAGGGCCACATCTCTGCCTCTTCTATCCCTATGTGTACCTGTCTTCCCTCCTGTCTCTGTGTGGATGTGTCTTCTCCCCTGCCACCTGTCTCCTGTCTGTCTGCATGTACATGTCTCCTGTCTGTATGTACATGTCCCCTGTCTGTCTGTGTATACCTGTCTCCTGTCTGTCTGCATGTACATGTCTCCTGTCTGTATGTACATGTCCCCTGTCTGTCTGTGTATACCTGTCTCCTGTCTGTCTGCATGTACATGTCTCCTGTCTGTCTGTACATGTCTC